CTCGGTATGTAACCATACTAGACACCGCTTGAGTCAGTAGTTAATCATTCTAGAATGAAACTGCACCCAAGCCCGAGTAACATGCGGTGTATATGGAATAAGGATGACACCAAAAAGAAGAATGACGGAGATGGCGTAAGCAACTTTCCAAATTAGCAGGGAAATGGTGCGATTATGTCCACTGCAGGCTATCCGTGTCGTAAGGTAAAACCAGAGCCGGTTCTAATCGTCTGTTGTCCGAGGTGAGCGAGAATCAACTGGGAGGTAGAACCATCAAGCAGTCCGTCATGTGTTACTATTTATTTCCCCCTGGTCATTCGTTCGGACCGCTAGCATATCTCGACCAATCCATCAGTATCTAGAATTCTACCTATGCCCATGCATTTCGATTCGGATGTTACAACGTATTGCCACTGCTCCGGGAATCAACCTAGATGACTTGTCTGAATCTCAGTGCGTTTACCTGAACGCGGCAGCAGTACAAGGGGCCGTATAGAGACACTTGAGATGGGATACATTGACTTCATATTGCAACCCCTAATAAGTCACGGTGTCACACGAGAAGAAATGTAATAAGATCTATTTGTCAAGTGGGAATGTATCAAGACACGAACAGATGGTAGCGCGATTTGTACTTTAGGATAGTCACATCGAGCCAGCAGATAATGGTGTTACGCGAGTGAAAATGACATGTCTGTCAAGCTGAAGTGTGGTGCTTATAAGTGTTTCTAAATGGCTTCCACTTAGTCATGCAACGTGAGATATCAGTTAACACACCAAAGGTCCTTGGTTCGAGTTACAGTACTGCAGTGTTGCGAACGGGCATTTGTTCACACTTGTGTATGGACTACCACAAACTGGAGGAAGAAATAATAACCGTCATGAACCATAGTACAACGTACGTGATCAGTTCACCTAAGTAATATATATATATATATATATATATATATATTACTTAGGTGAACTGAGCACCCTTATTCCACTTATTATGACAGTGCGAGTACACTGAAGGTGTTTGTTGCATCGGTATGCTCCGTTTATTGTTGTTTTCTCTAACTGGAAAACTGTGAAGGGTGTCTTCGTAGCAGTTTCCAAATCAGCTAGTCCTCTATCTGTCCGGAAAACCACCAGGCGGCTGTTTCGACCTAACGGGTCTCGTCACTGGTGCGCGTTCATCGGATCCATCAGGATTCGAACCCATGACCATTACAATCTTGTACCGCCAGCCTGCCAGCAGCTTATGCCATCGAAACAGGTGGAACAGCGACCGACCGTCTGTGCCTTTCCTTCAGGTGGTGGACCATCTGGCTTGGGCGGTCCTGCGAACGTCCTCCAACTATTTACGTCAAAAAGTCCTACTCACGAGTAGTCATCGATTGTTGCCCGCCCACAACAAAGCTATATCGAAGTTTGCTTGCACAACATAGCCGTCCGCAGCTGCACCCAATGGCTCAATGACATTAGCTGCTGGCTGTCTGTACATCTCATTAGTGGTCATGGGTTCAGACCTTGGTGTACCCGATGGATGCACATTTCTAATGCGACCCAATGGATCGAAACAGCCGTCTAGTGCGTTTCCGGGCATATGGAGGACTATCTGATTTAGAAGCTACTGCGAAGAATCCCCTAACTATTTGAATCAAAAATCCCCTCCCAAAGACTAAACTTGAAAATTCCAATTCCAGCTTCGATGGCATGATGTGGAAAGTGTGCCGTTGCTTTCTGTGATTCATCGTCAGTGTCAAGACGAGGCTTTGATAAAGTATATGGCACCCATCTCTAATTTAATTTCCTTTAAGCTTTAAGAAGTGGCCTGGACAAAATTCGATTGCACCTGTTTCCTGAATTGCCACAGGACCCCAGTAAATGTTGCGGTCCGTAGTTCGTGCGCTGGAAATAAAATCTTGGTCCTCCTCATGTAATTTACAAACCCCGCTTTTGTTGAAACAGGTGTAACCTATCAGACGTCAAAATACTTGGTGCCGTGACTTGATTACTTGTGTACTGGATGGGAGTGTTTATTAGGCGAAGGCATTTATCCACCCTGACTTTACTTAATCTGAAGACGTGTTGATCAGTGTCATGCCGGCCATTGTTCGAGTCTGGTTTGTAACCCAAAAGTCACCGGTTCGAACCTGTGTGAGTGCAAGTGACATCGCCTTAATCCTAGCCCGCACATCACTATCGCGTGACAGCCAAGAGTCGGTACGGTGTGCCGGCATACTGCTGTCGATTGGTCAGGGTCATGGATCAACGCGAGTCCCACCTCATCATCGCCAGCAGTACATCAGCAATTCAAACTGATGCTTCGCTGCCGTGCAACCACGGTAACTTACGGCACGAAAATTAATAAGAGGGAGAGAAGGAGGACCTAGCGTAAAAACGTAATGTCATAAGCAAGCATTCAGTGTCAAGGCGCCTACATCTTGTTTTGACCACATACCCGTCAAAAACAGCTAGATATCTTACAACAGCAAGGTAGCTTTAATACCCCCTCGTCGTAATTAGCCATTTCCCGCAGATGATAGCACCACACTCACTTTAAAGAGGCAGTCCGGTTATAAGAAGAGCCACTGATGTCAACTGTGATCCATGTCCTGTAACGTCTCAAGCCAAGCACAGAGCGAGTCATGTGGACTCCAGCCAGGGAGGCGAGACAGACCACCGAGTTTAGTCATCAGGGACTTCATTTCCCGCTACCAATTTATCTTGTCCACATCGTGCCTTGCGCCACCCTACCTCTGGCAAACGTAACAAGTTCACCTCGGGCATACCTTGTACAAGCCCAAACCAATGCTATCTGTTGATCTAAAGTACTAATCTCATTATCACTTCGTAGCACTCGCCTGCGCACATCGGCGTTGCGCACACGCTGCTGCCATCCGACACCAACATTGCTTCGCAGACCGCCATGATCAAATTAACTGACTTCAGTGGTCACGCATCCGTTATTGCAGATGCAGCTACCCACCTAAGTGAATTGATCAACTATGTCGAGTTCCTCTGCCTCAAGTGTCAACGGGTCATCAAGTGACTGCAACGATACTTTGCAGGTGCGAAGCGCATGCAAAATGACGGGGCCACTCTAGATAGGTTATCCATGGTTGACTAAGCGGCGTCAACCTCTTCAATCAGCATGACACTATTATCCGCATCATCAAGATCAACTAGCTTTTCATCAAGCAGCACTTCAACACCTGTATCGTAAGATTCCGCAAAGGAACACACCGTGATGAAGTCTACGATGAAGTTTCACAAAATGGGGGATTTGGACGATCGTGACGAACGCCCTGAAATTGTTGTTATTGAACTAATATAGTTGGCCTTAGCGTCTCCCGTTTTCGTTGATCAAATTAATCTTGCATAGTCTGGAATTTCCGACCGCCACCTCTGTTTTACTGCCATGAGTTCCGTCTTGCAGAGATCATTCTACCTCCGGTTTTTCACCTTATCGTATTGGTAGTCGCCTTCGATTCTTCACTGCTGCATATGTCATTTGTCTCAGGTTAATAAAAAGACTCAACCTGAATGTGCCTGTTGAGTGGTGATTTTTCCACCCAGCTCCTCTTCCATGCATTATATTTTGTTTTAGGAGACCATCCATTTTGCGCTCTTGTTACTGGGCTACGCTACTGCTGCTTCTTCTCCTCTGTTCAATGCAGTCCTTATGCATTGCTTGCGTGAGCGACTCTGAGTTTCTTTTGTTTATCAGCTGCGCTATGCTCAACATTTTACCACTGAGAAATGAATGTTGTCAGCAGCCTACCTCACGAAAACCGAGATAGAAGAGGTACAACTTTTAACTGGCAGATCAACAGTTAAGGCAAAAGCGGGGATGCACGCGTGCAGCCACTGGCTGCGCAGTGTCGGATAACCCCTCCATTCGCTGATGCGGCTAATCCCATGACCTCCATCCCGGAAGAAATACGTTCCCTCTTCATTACCTAATCTTGTCTTGCCGTCGTAGTGTGGCCATCTCGAATCTTCCTCAATCTGATGCGTTCGAATTCGGGTCGAGGTGGCTTTCCTTCACTATGCTTTAAGTAACCCGATACAAGCTTTGTTCCGCAATGTTACAAGCATTCAGATATCTCTCGCGCTAGTATATCTGCGACAAATGGTAACCTATATCCTGCGCTTTTGTGTTTGCCTTGAACGAATCGTGGTGTGATCTCACCAGTTTACATCGGTAGCTAGATTGTGAGAGCACATGAACTTTGCTCGAATCCGGTTTAACTCTATTTTCAAAGTAGTATTGGTGTTTGTCATTAATATTGGCTTGGCGCAATTTGTCGTTGCCTCTTTTCTGACACATCAACTGACCACTGTTTTCGTCAGTGTGATCTTCAGACGTCCACACACACCAAGTTTGTCCTGTCATCAGCATGATCCTGTGGGGTCGTCAGTTCGGGGAAGCCATCCGAATTAATTTTCGTTTATTGCAGCTCAAGGTACCTCATGTGTTACTTAGTCTTTCCTTTGTGTCCCTACTACACTATCACTTCCACTGGCTCGGTTATGCGCTCCACATGTCAGCCAATTGGCCTCCTGCTCGAATAGTGTTTGCTAACACTGCGCCTTGTTGGTTAAAATCTCGAGGTGGTCAGTCAGGGACTTAGCGGAGGAGTAAGAAGATTCTCACTAAAAGTCTGAGTCGGGTTGGTGCACGTCGTCTTCCCCGATGGTCGGTTACTCGAGATCCTGCATATCGATTGGTTCAGATGCGGCACAATCTTCAAGTCATCGACGCTACTGGATTCATGCCATTACTTCTGGTTCCTAGAGATTTTATCTAGTGACATTATTTATTACTCACATCCTTCGAAGCATTATTACTATTTTGCTACATGGGTCATGCCGACTGGGTCAACCACACCTTGATGCATGGATTTTAATTGTTCACCTGAGTTACGCTGCACTCTAGCCTCCATTTATCTTGTGAGTTTTACCTCCATCATCTACACACAAATCATTGTTCATTTATTGTGTTTACCCCACAGCAACTGACCAGATGTCAATCGTTGGGTGATCTACACCTAAATTCCTACATTGCTCCTCCTCTTGTACATTCCGGATCCACAACAAACTCAGCAGCTGGCAATCAAGTGGAGGAGTGTCATCATCCGGCCGCTAGACCCGTGTTTCTTGTCGAGAAACGTAGCCGCTCACGTAGCACTGGACACCCATCTGCCAAGTGGGGCTCTCCTCTGACACCTCCCCGATGAGCTGTCCCCATTCCAAATCCATCCCTCTCAGCGACGCAATGCTTACCGTCTGTCAGTCACTTTCATTGTAGTTTCACACACATACATTGTAGTCTCGATCATCTGTTGAACGTATTGCTGCTATTACCGGGTGTAACTGACGACTTCTGATTCTACTTTGGTCACATGTTCATCCTATCCATCTCAAAACCTAGCCTATAAACTATTCTTTCCGTACACACATATCTACACTTTTCCTTTCGAAACACCATGTGGTTTTCCTATTTTTATGTTCCGCTTTTCTATGCGTTACCCACCTTCCACTTTGTTACCCCTCACATACCATTACCAGTGCAGAACTTCAGAGTCTTGAAAGCCATTGCGAGCGCTTGCACTTACCCGTTCCCTGCAAGTGTGGTATCTTTACAATCGATCTCAATCGTTTGTCACAATGAGCAATTCTTTCCCCATTTGCGTCATCATTGCAGCACGACCTGGTTGGAATGTCGTACTTACCTTTCGTAGTCTTCAAGACGATTCGTTTAAATTAATGTCAGAGTGGTTACGGTCACCGCTGACTGTTGCTTCACGAATAGCTCCGCCCATTTACTGATGCTGTTGGCCTCTTCTCATCTTCCACCTCACTGTTAACTTTTTCTTTCTCGAGGAATTCCCCCATCCTTTTTCATGGGCATTCGCGCGACGCGACCCTAGTCGTGCCGATGACATTGTTCAGGCCTAGTGAGCTGTCACTTGCTTGAATACCGGTAATCGCAGCTGTTTTCCCACCTCGATTGATAGAGGCTTGCAAAAGAACACGTAGCGCTGGAGGCCAACAGTTCTGCATATCTATAACTCGCTAACAGTGGAGAACGGGCCGTGGTATATCGCAGCTATCAAACCATCATAGCGTTCGATGACCGCCATTCATAGCTCATTCAGTAATAACAGTGAAATCATTGTTTCTGATCTAGCTGAATTTGGCACACATGCACACTACTGGTGATTCTCAATAGGACAAGGCGACAATCCTGCATGCCATTTAACCTATCGTCTTCCATTGGTTTCCTTGGCTATGATTGGTGGCATCCGGTTCCGGATTTGCCTGTCCCTGCGACATTTATAAGACAGCCACAGGACGACTGCGCCTACAGATGGGCCATGGGTGGCTTGTGCTGCACCACCCGCAGCTCCAACCACATACCCCATATCCAGTGTAAACCCGAAGGAGTAAGACCGGAATGCATGTGGGTGGGGACAACGTTACATCAACGGAGCCGGTCCACACACCTTAAGCATGTACAGCAGCAGTATTCCTATCTATCTAATGAGAGAATCGTGCGTGCCAGATGTACTCAAAGCGGTGACTGGGCCGTAGCCCGTCCCACACTGGATTCATAATTACTTTTTGAACCTAGCAAAGCCACGGGGACCGTGCACCCAGTCCCCTCCAGCAACGAACAAGTGTCCCCTGGAGGCAGTATAGGCGAGGTAGTAGGTAATAGACAGGTAGGCACCTTGTCAACAGGCATATCAAGCGCATCCACACGAAGATGTCAAGCAACAGCCAATCAATTGAAATGATGATATCAAATGAAATAAATCGAATAAAGCTTACGAATATGGTGACATAATTTCACTTAATTAGCGTATGCAATAGATGTGTTATCAACATATCCACACTAAATTCGAGAAAGCAGAAAAGGAGATCAAAGAGCATATGCAACAAGTGCGTATAAAATTAACCACTTTTCATTTAAGCGATGTGTGCAAATGTGCATTACAATTGTGTTACAATGTAACTACAAAATATTGTAAACCGCCCACCTGTGGTAACGAAACGCAAGCACACGGCTACTAAATCGTATGCAGCGTAACTACCAACGCTGCATATATATATATATATGTATATATATATATATATATATATATATATATATATATATATATATATTAGTGCCCCATGCTGAGACAGATGATGCATTCTTGATGCTTCTTCATCGCAGTTGAGGCTAAACCAACTTACACTTAAACTAGGTCTTTTTAAGCTGGATAAATTTCATTCCACTTTATTTGGTTTGTTCTGCCTACCTGAATAATGTTCTATTAACTGGCCACGTTGCTTACGCTAATTGCGCTTATCTTCGGTAATTTTGTTGCGTTTGTAGCATTTTTAAGTAACTTGTGAGACATTTCTTACTTATCGCGGATTCGTTGCTAACCAACTTACTTCATATGGTAATTTAGGGAAGAGTTATGCCACCGTATCTGTATGCATTATTGGATTTATTTTATTTCAGCTTGTCATTTGAAGTGAACGGCAGTTGCTTGATATCCCCGGTGTGTCTGCGCTTGATGTGCATGTTGACAAGGTGCCTACCTGTCTATTACCCACTACATCGTCCATACTGGCTCCAGGAAACAGTTGGTCGTTGCTGGAGGGGACGGGGTGCACGGTTCTTGGGGTCCCCGTGTTAGACTCGAAGGGTGGTTTCATGCAGTCAGTGTGTAGCGGATTCCGGTCCAATCACCGCCTTGTATGCGCTTGATTCCCAAGTACAGCATGCTTGTATTTGTCTGTGAAGGAGTGTGGGCCTGTTCCGGTCTTATTCCTTCGGGTTTACACTGGATATGGGGTGTGTGGATGGAGCTGTGGGTGGTGCAGCGCAAGCCATCCATGGTCCCTCAGTAGGCGCAGGCGTCCTGTGGCTGGCCACAGTGACAGGCAAATGTGAAATCGGATGCCCCCAACCATATACATATATATATATATATATACTATATATATATATATGCGCTGGATACGCGAGGTCGTTCAAACATACGACCTTCGATTCTTGGCTTCTTGGAGTCTGGTACCGCGAGCTCACGCTTCAGCTTTGACTCAATTTCGGATAGCACAATTGTTTTGAGGGCGCTTGCAGCACTTGAGCATCATGTGCGGAGCTATGTGAGTCCGGGTTCCCTAGCGTCCTCCACATTACACCTTTTTTGCGACTGACTCAGATTGTCCGAACATCTGTTTTTCTATATATTGCAATGAGTTCTGCTTCCTGGAACGTGGTCCACAAGCTATGCGTTCTTACTCTACGAACCTAAAATTATCGGTGTCATGTTTAAGCAATTCCGCACTTATCTGCTTTAAACAGTTGACTATTTGGACCCGCCCAGTCACTAGTGGACTCGGCATGCACCGAACCTTTAGTTTAGTGCACCATACAAAGAAAACGAATAGCCGGAGCCATCATTTCTCATTATACGCGTTAGCTACAGGTAGAAAACACCTCAGCTATTATGACGCAATACAAAAGAAAATACAAAAACATGAAACAGAGGTACGCCGGCTGAGTTACCGGTAATGGGTGGATGTCGTTTCGGAGAGGTAACGGCCGGCTATTGTGC